TATATATATATATATATATATAGTATAGGCAGTTACAGTAGCAGCTAGGAGCTAGAAGTTCAAGTGTGCTGCAATAGTTGGGGTGTGTCTTCTTCACTTCCTCCTTGGCTGTAAAATATTTTTAGCGTGTCCAAAATTTCTCCCAGTTCACTAGCAAGTGCACTCTATTTATTTTTACACTATTGTATCTGGAAGCCATGAAGCAGAAAGTTCCTCATGAATAAATTTATATGCATTATGTTTGTGTGTTTCTCCGTAGGCCCTGGCTCCTGTAAAGATGGCTGACGTGGTGCAGCCAGACCCCGACAGCTTGCAGATACCCGGTGAGACGCACATACAGTACTGTACAGTTTATACACAGACTTCATTACCATGGCAACCTGGTCAAAATGACTCACTTCTCTCTCCCTCTTTATCTCCTGGAGCGCGAACACACTGACCTTTCCATGTCCCTCTCCCACTCGGGAATATTACTCACATCACATTCCAGTGACATTCCACTCATTCTAGTTCATTAGAAATGTCCACTCTCACATCCAGAGAGCTTCGGGTCAAGTGCATGAAAAATAAGGTGTTGTCTGCATATGTGCATGTATGCTGGCATCAGCAGTTGATGACAGTCCAATAATGTCTCTTTCCTTGTGATAAGAGAGTTTTCACATGGCTGCATATCACTTCAAACACAGATCTTTTTGGCTTGTCCGTCCATTTTCCGGTGGAGTACGTGTGGCGCTTTTCCAATGTTGAAACTTGTCTATAATGAGATTTTAATAGGTAGCCACCACTGCGTGTAGTTACATTTCTCTTTCCCTTCTTCTCCACTAATTCCCAGGTGATAATTTATCAGCCCCTTCATCGCCTGCCACAGCTAGGAATGACTGCAGCATCACACCCCTCACTCCCTCCCCCTCCCCGGTAACTATGCGCACACACACACACACACACACACACACACACACAGATTCACCACAGACACTCCTACACACCCTTTCCACTTACTTATTTTCTTTATATAAAGCTGCTAAACACGACCTGTAAACCCACATCCACTTCTCACTGTTATTAGTGGTTTATAATAACACTTAACTCTGAGATTAAAGTGAAGTGTAGACTTAAAGCAAGTACGCAGTGATGACTACAGTCTGTTGAAGAAATATCCACACTTTGGCACTAAAGGAGTAGAGGAGAGATTTCCAAGCCTGCTAATTCTACGCTGTTTCCACTCATAGAAACTAGTTATCACAGAAATGTAAGAATCACTTATTTTAAGTCCCACCCATGCTTCCCCTGAGAGTCAGAGCCATGTTTGCAGCTCTGTGAGGCCGTACTTAAGCACGGCGGTGATTTGTGCTAAAAGTTAGCATGCTTAAAGTGACATGCTGATGTTTAGCAGGTATGCTTTTCATGTTCTTAGCTCAGCAAGTTAACATGCTTATATTGTCAATTCAGCAATAAACAGCTGAGGGTAAAGGGAATATCAGTCATAAAGCAGAATATACTGTAGGACAAATTAAATTTTTGACCTGATGACGGTGCTAGAAGTTCAACGTACCTCATACAATGGTATTATAAATATGATATCTTGTGAAAATGCACAATGGTTCCTATGCTATCTAACAAATAAGCACCTCACCTATTACGGCGTCACATTACGTACTTATGTGAAGTTACACAGGTAAGTTAGTCAAGTAAAGGTACTTGGGTCAAGTTTAGGAAAGTTAATTTGTGTAGGTTAGGTTTAGGAAAAGAATTGGGGTGTCGGTGCCCCAAGTGCGGAGGCGTTGCCTCGCTGCAGCAGCCACGGGTTAGGGTCCAGCTTGCAGTTCTTTGCTGCAAGTCGGTCCCCACTCTCTCTCTGTCTCCCCATTTCACTCTCTGTCCTGTCATTAAAGGCAAAAAAAAGCCCACAAAAATAATCTAAAAAAAAAAAAAAAGGAAAAGAAACATGTTTGGGAGTCGTCACGTTTTGTACTTACGGTAAAATTATGTACTTAACGTAAAGATATGTAGGTTAGGTTTAGGAAAAAAAACATGGTTGGGTGTTGTCACACTACATACTTACCGTAAAATTAGATAGGTTAGGTTTAGGCAAGTCAAGTTACAGAGTGTAGGTTTAGGAAAAGAAACATGGTGACGACCTACCTTAAAATGACTCAAAGTTCACTTGGTTTCACACGGGACATGAACACTAGTCTCCTGGGAGGAAGTCCTTTGTTTGACACAACCACGATCCCAACCTACCTCTGCGAAATTTCACTTTTAATACTACTCCCCTTTGTATTCCCTTCAGCACATATGTCGCATGATTGGAGCCTTCTTGATTATGTGGGTTACACATGAAGTCTGGTGTATTGCTTTGTACAGTGCATGAAAACAGGTTAAAAATAATCAATCATCACCACTATGTGGGCTACAATTCAGACTGAGGGAGACATGAGTTTCTACACCAATTTTCATGACAATCTATCCAATAGGAGTGATTATGGGGAGTTGTTCTCCCATCAGTATCAGCTTCAACTCACACTAATCTTCCTCTCTCTCAGAGGGTGGAGGTCAGACCCAGGATGTCCTGTCCGTTTTCGGTTGTCGTGGCAATAGACTTTGGGACGACCTCGAGTGGCTACGCATTCAGCTTCACACAGGACTCAGAAGCCATACACATGATGAAGTAAGAGTCTGCAACTATTGTCTTCAGTTCTATTCTATTATTTTCTACCCTTGACCTGACTCTACCATTTTCCTCCAATCTATGAAGACGCTGGGAGGGCGGGGATCCAGGGGTGGCCAATCAGAAGAGCCCAACGTGTCTGCTGCTGACTCCTGATTTGCGGTTCCACAGTTTTGGGTTTGCGGCCCGGGACTTCTACCACGACCTGGACCCAGAGGAGGCCCGGCACTGGCTCTACTTTGATAAGTTCAAGATGAAGATCCACAGCACAAGTGTAAGAGGGATCAGGATGGGAAAGGTGGAGTAGACAGGAAGTGGGGACAAAAAGCCAATTTTACATAATACATACAAACTTAAAGGGTCAGTTTTATACATCTGGATCAGGTTGCATTGTGGGTAGTGTAGGATCCAGTGTTTTTGGAACTAGAACAATACAAAGGATCAAAAATCAGGATATCTTGGCTTCTGCTGCTTCCGTTTTGACCATTGTCTTTAGAAACTCTCTCACAAGTCTCCCAACTTTAAGAAAGTACAGTGTAAAATAAAGTATCCCCTTTAAGGCTTTAAGCATCAGCAAGACAACTTGCTTTTGCCATAGTGTTTTAGCTGTTAAAGCTGTGTTTGCTACAGGACCTCACCATGGAGACGGAGCTGGAGGCGGTCAATGGTCGGAGGGTCAGGGCCATTGAGGTGTTTGCTCACGCTCTGCACTTCTTCAGGGAACATGCTCTAAAGGTGCACTTTAAAGCCACAGTTTATGATTGCAGTATAGTGCCTCTTGGTGGACATCTCTATACAGTGTTCACATATACGTGTGTGATTTTTATTAATATGGTTTATATGTATAAACCTTCACTTTGCAAACCAAAATTGCTGCACTGTAGTTCATAAAGTGAGTATGATTTTGAGTGTTTTACCAAAGAAAGTGTTTCTCTGATTCTGTTTTAGGAGGTGAAGGATCAGTCATCATCAGTGCTGGAGGGAGAGGAGATCAGATGGGTAATCACTGTCCCTGCTGTGTGGAGACAACCTGCCAAACAGTTTATGAGAGAGGCTGCATACCTGGTAGGAACACAAACTATTCTGCAATTAAAAGAAGACATTACCTAAGTCTAGGAGGGTTTATGTTTAATACATGTTTAATACATCAATACATACATACATCCACTTACATTATGTATACAACTCAAGTCTTCTAGATACATACACATGTGCACACACACGTAGGGAATGATGGTAGACTGTGTGTGTGTGTGTGTGTGTGTGTGTGTGTGTGTGTGTGTGTGTGACAGAGAAAGAGGAAGAACAACAGGGAGATGGAAAGAAAGGCAGTATATGAAGCATGAGATAAAGCCTGCCCGATTAATGTTCCCATGGAAGATCCACACACACACGTACACACATAGAGATCATCACACTGCACTTTTGCCTGTGTATCTTCCCACCAATACACACACACCATACGTGTCACAATGACTTGTAGGAAGTGTGCGTACATGGACAGGAATGCAGGGGGTCCTATCACAATACATATCACTGAGAGTGGACTCACATGTGTGTGCTTGGGCAGTACATATGCAGTGGTCCATGGGAAAAACTGTCAACCTTTTACTTGAATGTCAGCGCTTTCCTAATTCCTGTTCTCTCTCTGTTCAATGTTCTCATTTTTACACACACACACACACGTAAATTTGTTCACCAGTATCTCTCATCTGCCCTTCACTCACCACGGTACATAAATAAATAGCCTAATGCATACACACTTTCAAATGCAACACTGACATATACGCACACACACCCTGCGCTGGCTCCCGGCTTGAGGCCGTCGGGGTGTGTGTGCTTCCTGCTGGTGATGATGTCATCACAAGTGAACAATGAGGGAGACGGGCGTACAAACACAGGAAGTGGTGTCCAGACCCCCGCCCTGCATACACACACATCATTCCAGCCACTCAACTTTACACCCAATACATCAAGGCTAATGCTTATATACCAGCTCTCCGCTCCTAATGGCACTCAGTGTATGTATAAACAGACCAAAGCAGTGTCTACATGCATGTCTAAAAGCATTGTGGATTTTTGAGAACTGCTTTTTTCAGTACAAGTATGTCTCTCTCTTTTCTTTCTCTTGCTCAGACCCCAGATATCTCAATACAATCAAGAGCTTTGCGGGATAATAAAATTCTGCTCGTAAATTTTTCTCTCCCTCTCTGTCGGTCTTTTCTCTTCCAGGCTGGTCTGGTGTCTCCAGACTGTCCTGAGCAGCTCCTCATCGCTCTAGAACCTGAAGCAGCGTCAATTTACTGCCGTAAGCTCCGCCTCCACCAGGTGCTTGACCTGAGCTTGCAACCAATCACAAATGGCTTTGATCTGGAGGGGTCGCGGCCCTTCGACTCAAGCTTCAGACAAGGTAGTGAAGAGAGAGTTTGGGTCGATGTGTGTGTGTGTGTGTCTTCGTGTAGACTTTGTCATTAGCATAAGCATGAAACCACACTGTGTTCCTGGAAATGTTGTTGTTGGGTTTCACTCGGGGATTGTGGTCTATGCAAAGGACAAAGTGGGTTTGTGTGTGTGAGCGAAGGAGATCTGACTTCAGATACTACTTGCGGTTTTCCCTCAGATGACTTTGCAGTTGTTTATGTGTGTCTGTGTGTTTGTGGATGTGGGGGGGGGGGCACACTTACAAATGACACTGGAGACGCCATATGTGTCATGTAGAGTGGACAAACTACTTTTGATATGAAAACATTTTTCTAGATGGTGATGTTTTCTGTATCTTTTATGTTTGTGTAAATCTGGCTTTTCAGTTCACTATTGCGAAGTGGGAGAAGTTATTTCGGGCATCCAGGGTTTATTTTCTGCAAAAACAATAATAGGTGGCTGGCAGAGGGAGCATAGTTTGGGCATGTAACTGTACTGGTTGAATCAATCAGTCAACAGAGGAGCTGTGTTCCAAAATCTGGTTCTTTCACCAGAAAAGTCAAAGGTACAAACCTATGTACATAAAAACGTAAGAACATAACTATGACTCCAACAGTGAAATGGGCTTGAAAGTTTGTTGCATGTGCAACTTAAGGTGAGAATCATTTTGCTTATTTGCTGATGCCTTGATTTGAGCATCTGACTGGTTTTGTTTATTTCGTTGAAGTTGATTTGGCAAACTTGTAAGCAGACAGTTCCCCTTTTGCATATTCAGAAGACGCCATTCATTTGAGGCTGAGTCTCTGGCCATCCAAATAATGTAATTTTAATATTTACTCACTTTTTAGCTCTGTTTTCGCCCTCGCTCTTAAGGGAAATGTCTGGCTCATTAGATGCTAAATGCTCTAATCTGTATGTTACCTGTCTGTCATTTGGTGCTGGGCAGGTTGTCAGAGCTTATTTGCCTACAGAAAATAGTAGCCTATTGAGCATGAAATTTATGCTGATGAGAACAGTGAGAGTGAACCAAAACAGTTAGGTTCCAGGCCAGACACCAAAACAATAATGAAAGATGTTAAAACTCTCCATAGAGCTGCAGAGCTGGGTGATAATTCTCTGTGGGTTTGGGTGTCAAGAGAGTTTTTTAAAGACCTCCCCAAATCAAGTTTTTAACCTTGTTAACATATTCATTTTATACTCTACAAAACACATCATGAGCAATAAGCAGTCAATGCCATGGCTGAGCATTTCCACCTCAGAACGACAGTGTACCAATACCTCAAAAACACGGATTCTGACTTCCAGGGCTTGTTACATCACAAATCAAAGGAACCGGTCCTCTGAACTAGTACAGTTAGGCTTTCCATATCATTAGCATAACAAGCATACAGCAAAACAAGGGGTATCAGAGGAGAAGTAGGTACTGGTACTGGTACTGGTATTTTGCAAGTTACATTTCCCTTTCGCCTAAACTTATCAGAGCTCATGATTGGGAACAAGGTTTATCTAACATTAGCAACATATTATTAGCTGTTTGATAACATAGTCAAGTTTAAGAATCACTTTATCTGCTGTTAACAAGCAGAGGTTTGTGTGTTTGACGAGCAGAGTCAAAGCAGGTTCACTAAAGCTGCAGGGAAGTGTGTGAGGATGAAGCTAATATGCATATTCATAGATCTGTGCAATGTGCGCGTACAAAATCAGGCCAAGGTGAAGAGTTGCATCTTAGCCATTTTAAAGCATTTAGGGATATAAATATGTAAATATGTAGTTTTGATGAACAGAGATGAATTTATTCAAATGCCTGGAGAGGAGTTTTACATTACACATAGTCATTTGACCCACTGTTGATATAAATGTATTGAATAGTGCAGCTTTCAAAGAAAACTTTACAATCCAAATTTACAGTGAGGAGAAATTCTTCCACAACAATCAACTCTTTTCACTTTGCAACCCTATACCATCCCAATCAAAATACAAGGACAAGGGTGACTACTTTTAAAAGAAAGTGTAGCTGTTGACTGTGTGAGAACATGGCTGTCATATTGTCACAACTCTACATTAAAGCTGCATTGAAAACATTTGTGTTTGCAACAGCTACAGGAAAATACTACTAAAACACAGCAAAGGAACAAAGAGCGATTTCAGGCCGGGGAAAAAGGAGACTGATGTATAATTCAGGGAACGAACATGCCGTCCAAAATCCCCTGCACAGGCCCACTTATACATATGCAGTCAGTGACACACACACGCACACAAAGAACATTCACACGCACAACGACACACACTAAACACAGGATATTGTAATTGGAACAAGGTGCAGCGAGACTATGATCTCACCCCCTCCCGGCCTGTCATTCTCCCTCTCCTTCGTTCACATTCATTTTTCTTTCTTTTCCCTCTGTCGTTCTAGCATTTCCTCCCCCTCTAACTTTCTTTTGCCAGGTTGTACACTCTGCAAGGACTCTGCAGACACACAGAAAGCTGCATAAACAGACATAACAGTACTTCCACACACACACAAACACACACGCTTGGCATCACAGTCATGGTTTTTACTATCTTTAGCTTTTATTCCACCTCATTTCGTCTCCAAAGATAGCACAGGGGAGTCATTAGTGCACGCGCGCACACACACACACACACACACAAATACACACACAAATACACACACAAATACACACATACATTTTCTTTTCTGCTGTTTCATGTAAATGGTTTCCAGACTTGCATTTCATCCATCACCCCCATACAAAGATACACACACACACACACACACACACACACATGCACACACACACACACACACACACACAGACGCACATACATTACCTCCTGCGTCATCCAGTCTTAAAACAACTGTAAGAGTATTTGCTTTCAAGACAATGTAGTCATTGTTTTTCTTTCTTTCTTTCTTTTTCTTTCTTTCTTTCTTTCTTTCTTTCTTTCCTTATCCTGCCACAAATCTCCTTTACCTTGCTCTTATTCTAATTATTATGGTGTGTAGTACTCATGGGGTTTGAGGGAACCTAGTAAAAACCACTTTTACCTAAATTATACAAACACTTCACTCCAGGCTGTCAAACCTGTTACAACACACTCATACACTTAAACATCAAGACCACAACCCTTTCAAAGAGTTTGGGTTTTTAAACACGAGAGACAAAATTTTTTACCTCCACCATCCTCCTTTCGCTTCTTTGATCTGCAGTTATTTCTCATCTTAAAGCCATTATGTTTCACTTTATGGGTTCACTTGCATTTATGGGGGAGTACGAGTGTATCTGCTCTGTCAAACGGGATGTCAGGTGTTTTGTATTTCTGTCAGCTGTGTTTGAGTGTGTTCTGTTTTTGTTGGCCTCCATCCATACTTTTAACCTGTCAGTCAAGCGGTTTGCATGTTGAGAGTGAAGAGGAAAGCTGAAATCTGAGAGTGTTTCCAACAAATTGTTTCTGTCATGCAAAAACACTGTGACTCTCATTTTGGTGTGTTTTTCTTTTTTTCCCTTCAATAGAAAGACTTAACTATTCAATGCATAAATGTCATGACCTCCAGGGTAACAAAACTTCTAAACCAAATTAAAGTAAATTAACATTCATCCTCATCAGGCAATGAGCATTAGTTAAACACAAGCTAAAGTGTCTGACCCTGCAGCACGTTTATACAGACATACTAAAAAATGTACAAATGCTGGAAAAGCAGTGTACTGTGGTTGAAGGGGGTGATGACTCTCTGGGCCTACAGCTGGAGAGAGTCCATAAAAATTCTTGTCCAATTGTTGTATTTTGAAAAGGGGGGCCCAGAGCAATATTTCAGGGGGACTACCGCTCCTATTTGTGCCCCTGGGACGCAGAGGTCTTTGCTGTGCCCCTAAACAGGAGAACTTTGTTTTTTTTTTTTTATTTTGCTTTTTTACAATGTTTAACCATTATTTTTTGCTTCACTATGACTTTTTGAACTTATTCTATGACATGAATACTTTCACTCATGTGCGTGTGCAACTGAGATGAAATCCAAATATCAGAGGTATAAAAACTGAATTATGTTTTATGTTTGTTGCAGCGAGGGAGCAGCTGAGGCGATCCAGACACAGCAGGACCTTCCTGGTAGAGAGTGGAACCGGAGAGCTGTGGTCAGAGCTGCAGACTGGTGAGACTCTGTGTTCATGTTCGTGTGTGTGTGTGTGTGTGTGTGTGTGTGTGTATGTGTGTGTGTAAGAGAGAAAAACAGACCCCACATGTTGGAGATATTGATGATATTGACTTTTAACCCCAGTTGGCTCACAAAGAGAAGCACACACACCTTCTCATTTCTACTAACCCTCAGTTTTCGGTACTGCATTCACTGTGTTCTTTTCAATTTCAGCGCGATAATAGCTTTCACATTTTACCTACTATATCTGCACTGTTTGGGGACTGAGAATTTGAAAATTAAGTCCTAGTATTTTGAGAAAAAAAGTCTAAATATTTTAAGAATAAAGTCAGAATTTAAGAATGATGAATGAGTGATAATTTTGCAAAGTGTTTAATATTATAAAAATATAATCCTAATACTTTCTATAAAGTGCCAAGAAACAACTGGTCTGTCACTTTAAACTACCAAACACAGCTGTACTGACAGCCCCTGAGTGTACAACCCACAGTGTCCAGTTTTGCCTAAGATAATAAAATCCTGTGCCTGGAGAGTTAAACTCACCCAGTTCTGTGGCTTTTACACACAGCCTTTTCTCTCTGTTGAGCCATGACAACAATCTGAAGAGCCACGCGCCCCTGCTGACCCTTTCTGCTCCCTTTCCTGTCCACACACACACTCACACACAGGAAGGACCCAGCCCATGGGACCCTGTGCATCTGCACTGTAAATAAACCAGAGGAGTAGAAACTCTGATTTGTCCTCCTCCTCTTGCATTTTCTTCTCTCATCCTTCCCTCACATTCTTCATTTCTTGTTGATTTTTGTTGCTCGCACTTTTTCTCTCTCTCACTCACTAATTCGTGTTCAGGGTGTGGTCTGCTAAACTCAGGGTAACGAAGCCGAAACCAGCTCTTATCGCTGGATGTATCATAAACACACACGCTCGCAGTGGGAGCGCAGCAATCCCAGATGCCTGAGGGTTGTTTATGTTTGAGAGTCCGCTGGTTGAAGAGTTTCAGGGGAAACACACACACACACACACACACACACACACATTAGAAACATGACATTTAGACATTCCACACAAATGAAGACACATTATCATCCGCAATTTCCTCCTACAAATTTATGAGAAACATCATGTTCTTCAAGTCCCATGTGAAATATTTCCTGGCTCTAAAGTCAAACTGATAAGAAAGTCTTCAAAAATAACAGATTTCATGAAAATGCTTAACGTTCCCAGAACACTGCAGGTATTAAAACTGTGTGCGCTCTTTGTGTAGGTGACAGGTACATTGTTGCAGACTGTGGAGGCGGAACAGTTGACCTGACTGTCCATCAGATTGAGCAGCCACAGGGAACACTTAAAGAGCTCTACAAAGCTTCAGGTACAAACTTTCTCAATCTGCTGAAACACACACACACACACACACAAAAAAAAATCCTACAGTTTCCAAAGCTGTAGTTTTTCTTCCAGGCGGTCCGTACGGTGCGGTCGGAGTAGACCTGGCCTTCGAAGCCATGCTGTGCCAGATCTTCGGTGAGGACTTCATCCAGAGCTTCAAAGCCAAGCGGCCGGCGGCCTGGGTGGACCTCACCATCGCATTTGAGGCAAGGAAGCGGACGGCGGCGCCGGGCAGGGCCAACGCCCTCAACATCTCCCTGCCCTTCTCTTTCATCGACTACTATAAGAGACACAGGGGGCAGAGTGTGGAGGCCGCCCTGAGGAGGAGCAAGTGAGTGGGTACTGGGAGAGGTGTGTGTGTATACTGTATGAGTGTGTGAGCCGTTCAATTAAACAATGTATTGATTTATCTGTAACATTAAAGATGAAAACTCTCCTCTGTGTTTGTGTGTGTGCCAGTATGAACATAGTGAAGTGGTCGTCCCAGGGGATGCTGCGGCTGACACAGGAAGCCATGAACGAGCTCTTCCAGCCCACCATCAGCAATATTGTCAAACACATTGGTGAGAAACATACAAAGATGTGTACAGATTAGTGGAGCAGAGAATGGATTTTCATTGACCGAGCAGCAACCTCTGGGGCTGAAAAATGAAGCGCAAGTGCCAAAAACTGCAATGCCTCAAACAACCACTTTGAGGCTGGCTCCAAAAGGCAACCAAGAACTTGGAATGAGGTCACTTCCGATTTGACCATATTCCAATACAACAAGGTGTAAAAACCAAGACGTTGTTAGCATTAGCAGTTCTAGTGAGGTTAGCCACTGTTAGCAAAATCAGTTGATATCAACACATTATGTAGTGCTTACAAACACAGCAACATGTTCACAGATAGAAGTTGGACAGGACGTTGTGTACGACTGTTTTAACGAGACACAAATGAGGCTGAAGTGCTAATGAACAGAATAGCACTACAGTTTTCACTACTGTTGATGCTCAGAGTAGCCATCTTGGATTTTGAGTTCAGGGTTGGTGAGGTTCCTCCAACTTTCTGAGTTGGATATCTGACATCAGGGGGCGATCCAGCTGAAACATCAAATGGGAAGTCAGAAACTTCCCAGTACAAAAGGAACACACCATAAAATGCCCAGCTTATCTCTATCTCTATCTCTATCTCTATCTCTTAACTCATCCGTTAAGATTTTTATTGAGGCTTAACGTTACGCATCATTGCAGGCATGGCCGCTTTAAGTGACAGGCTGTCTGCAAGGCGTCACCTCAGGCTCTCAGTCAGATCCACAGTCAACTCAGGTCACTTCTGGTTTCAAACTTCCAAAATGGCAACGGCCAAAATGCCAACCTCGAGGCTTCAAATTGGGACTCCACAAACCAACGGGTGACATCACGTTGGCTACATCCATTATTTTTATACAGTCTATGGTTTTGACTCTCTCACATTGCCCAAACCTCTGACCTCACAGCATGATGCCAGAACTTTCCATTAAGAGAGCTACTTATGGGTGGTGTGAATCTAAATGGTACAAAAGGGCAAAAAAATACAACTTGGTGCTTTTCAAGTATAGCTCATACCAAGCAAAACAAACTGTAACCTTTTTCTAGGTGATGGTGACCTCACTATTTGTTTTTTAAGCCTTGTTAAGACCACACTAAATCAGAAATGTGGAGAGTGTCTGTTTTTAATCAGCCACATGCCAGTGGGGACTGGTTTTGTAGAGTCTGGCTTAGCTGGCATTTGTTGGATAACCAAAAGACAGAGGGTGGATGTATGAAACATCCAGCAATAGCACACAGACAAACATACTTTGCTTATACACTCCATGAGATAAAATTATCCAATCATCCCTCTTTTTCTTCGCTGACAGAGGAGCTGATGGCAAAGCCAGAGGTCAGCGGGGTGCGTTTCCTCTTCCTGGTTGGTGGCTTTGCAGAGTCGCCCATGCTGCAGAAAGCAGTCCAGAGAGCACTCGGGCGGACGTGTCGCATCATCATCCCCCATGATGTTGGACTGACCATACTGAAAGGTGCTGTGCTCTTCGGGCTGGATCCCACTGTGGTGAGTGCTTAGGAACATCCGTTCCGTACTGGAGCAGCTCTTTGAAACATTCTAATAACCTCTCTCTCACAGGTCAGAGTGCGTCGATGCCCCCTGATCTACGGTGTTGGCGTCCTGAACCGGTTTGTGGAAGGACGCCACCCTCGTGACAAACTCCTCATCAAGGATGGTCGCGAGTGGTGCACCGACATCCTCGACCGCTTTGTCTGCGTGGACCAGTCAGTGGCTCTGGGTGAGGTAGTAAGGCGGAGCTACACACCTGCTCGTCTGGGCCAGCGGAAGATCATCATCAACATCTACTGCAGTGCAACGGATGACGTCACATACATCTCCGACCCTGGAGTCAGGAAGTGTGGGACGATAACTTTGGACCTACCAGAACCGTTACCAGTACCAGGAGCAGTGGGAGGGGCAGTGGGAGGAGTAGTCCCAGAGCGAAGAGAGATCAGAACGACCATGCAGTTTGGGGACACGGAGATCAAAGTCACAGCCGTTGACGTCATGTCTAACCGCTCTGTCCGGGCTTCCATAGACTTCCTGTCTAACTGAGGAGGAGCAGGAAGTGGGGACGAGGATCGGAAATCACACAAAAAAACTGATTCTAGGGATGATAGATGTAGAGAAAGCGGTACTTTGGGAGTGGGCCACATTTTTTTTTTTTTTTTCTTTAGACTTTGCATTCTAAGAAGAAACTCACATCCTGTCATTCAGACATTTAGGCTCTACATTATTCATTAGAGTATAAAAAGATCACAAGAGGAACATTTTTCTCCAGCCTTCTGGAGTACATACCCCATCAAAAAAGTGTTTCCTCAACTGAAGGGTAGGGCGCCCTCTTTGGACAAAAAAAGAAAAAGGTCCGGCCTCTAGATTGAGTGGCATATGTCATGTTACACCATGTAATGCTCTCACAGGCATTTCCTTCCCAGAACATGTTCAGTGGAAAACTTGTATGGACTCTTTACAAGCTAATGCAAGCTGGGTACAGATCCCTGCTGCAACAGATACCTTCTATTAATGCAACCTGTCCAAGGTTTCAACTTTTGCATCACACTACCTAGTTATTATTCATCTAAATTGCTCAATATGAATTCTGTTCCCTCATATGATGAATTTCACAAAGATATCTCACAAGTTCTGGTCCGATACCTCATTTAAATCCTATCTCACTCTCCATTTTTGAGATATTGATACAACTACCTGGACTGCAGCTATGTTTCTCTAATGACTGTGATTGTGCGTGCCCTAGTGGTCAAAGGGCAGAACTACAAGCAGAAAATCATGGATGCATCAAACACACCTGAAGATCCTTCACTAGGAAAGACTGTGACATCATTGCAGAGTTTGCATGTTTCTCATGAAGTACGTCACCACTCTCGTTCAGGTGTAGTGTTTGGTATGTGTGGTGTTTAACACCTCAGGACAATTTTTCCCACAGGTTAAATGTGGGAAAAGATGATGGTATCAAATATCGGTATTTTTTTTAGGTATTGTATCACTAAGAAATTCCTGTATCATGACAACACTGCAGTCTTCACTAGACGTTACAACAGGTCCATACATCTGAGCTATCACCATGGCAACTGAGTTATCTCCATCACCTGAGGGAGACAAGCTAGTTGCAGTTAAAAGCTATAAAAGCTGTATTTTGTCTGTCTGTCTGGTAATTTTATAAGTGAATGAGCTCCTGCAGGGGTTTTAACTTTGCCACCTTAACATACTGTGTTACATTACTGCCAATCTTTTTATGTTGTGTATGCTGTAATAAACTGTATTCATGTCTACGTCTAACAACCACTGTACCATGTACAACACTTTAACCCAACCTTACTTTCTTACTGTGCAAGCTGCAAAATGCTACAAAGCATCATCCTTACATTATCCTAATTTTATGATCCATGGCCTTACATTTTACATTAAAATAAAAACTATTATATCATTGTTTCTACAGCAATGCCATGCTCTTTTCTCATTTAAAAAACGCTACTTAAATACAGTACAACTGCAACTTCAACACCACCAGGAAACCACTTAAAGTAACACACATATGAATCATGAACAGTACGATTTGAGCTGTGAATTTATTGATAAGAATGGTCCAATAAATAGTTTCACACAGCCTAACCAATGCATGGTTCAGAACTGCTCAACATCCTATCAGTGCTTTACTTCCCATGTTACACATCAGTTTGTCACAGAACACAAAACCAGATTAGAAATGATGGAACAGCTGCTTCAGGTCAGAGGGAGGAAGAGTGAACTAGAGGGGACAGGAGTGTGTCTGATTCAAAACCAAGAGGGGGCTACTGCAACAAAATTTCTTAGTAAAATGGCCACACATGGAAAGATACAGTGCTTGAAATGTTAAACAGACTAAACCTCAGTAAGAAAAAAACTACAGGTGACAAAGAAAACACAAGAAATGCCAGCCATCTTTATGAAAGTCGAAAGATACTGTATTGAAATAGCCTTCCCCCTTTTATTTGTTTCATTACACTTGCCATTTGCAATGTGTCTATGACTGACGCGGCAACACCTAATTTTTATCTAGAATTCAAATCCAAATGCAGCTCAAACATGCCAAGCTACATTCAACATCATCTTTGCATCTCTGCATATAGCTGGAAATGTATCCTGACCAGTACTTAAGACACAGTCATTTGGATTTCAATGCCAGTTTAAAATTAGGTTTTGTTCTCGCTTCTCTTAGTGAGCGTGGGGCCTCCCGCGGCCTCTGCCCCTGCCAGCGCCAGGAGGTCCGTCCATATTGCTGCGTGGGTTCTTGATCGTTTCATCCACTGACAGGATGAGGCAGGCTGCCTCTGACGCGGCTGTCAGAGCGTTGATCCTCACAATGGATGGTTCCCAGACGCAGGCGTTGAAGTTGTCTGCAATGTCCTCGTTGTTGATATCTACACCATACCACATACCGCCCTGCAGGGAGATGGCAGATGAAGCACACAAAGACAGAGTTATTTCCTGTTCAACTTCTAGAACTTAAGGCCATAAAAGCGCCCATATGCTTGTACTTCATTCAAAGCCTTGTGTAGGATAAGGTAAGCGTGTTTCATTTCCTACCTGTGCATGTTTGGCACGCAGTTTGTTCAGGATGTTGGTTGCGTCAAAGCCGGCGTTGTCACACAGCTGTCTGGGGATGATCTCCAAGGCCTTGGCGTATGCGCCGATCAGCAGCTGCTGTTTTCCGGGGATGGTCCTGGAGTAATCCCGCAGGTACTTGGACAGCTCCATCTCAATGGCTCCTCCACCCGCTACAACTGAGTCATTCTGGAAATGTGTTAAGTACAGTCAGCTTATTGTGTGCACAGATGGGCTGACAAATAGGAAGAATTTCCAAATGGTAAAGGGAGGGTATTTGGTCTACAGCTGCGCTTGGATGGAAGGAGCTAGTCAGGTGGCATTCACGTAATTGCCAGGACCCAAGGCTGCCCAGGAGACGATTGTATTGCAACAAGATGATCAGTGTTATTGACTTCACCCACCACTGGTTTTAATATTTTGGGTGATCGGTGTACACTCCGTGCATAAACTGACCTTGATGGCTCTGCGTACGATCATGATGGCATCGTGCAGCGATCGCTCCGTCTCCTCTGTAAACTGTTCTGCTCCGCCCCTCAGGATGATGGTGCACGTCTTTGCCTTCGGACAGCCCTTGAAGAAGTTATACCTAGAGACACAGATGGGATGGGTGTGAGTTGTCATAAAGAATTATGACTCATGGTGTCAATTCTCTAAAGAGGATGGACAAAAGACTAACTTGTCCCACTTACCTGTCTCCTCCAACTTGGACTTCCTCAAAGAGTTCACACTGTCCCAAGACGCTGTCTGTCATGGCACTTACTGAGGTCTGGATGGAGCCGCCGCAGGCCTGGAGGTCACATTACACACAATTAGACTTGTTTAAGCTCATTTTAACATTAAAAATACGGGTTTGCAACACACACATGGATTCAAACAATGAAGACATTTTTAAAACGACTGCATTGTACATGCCTGTATAGATTATTAGATTTACTGAAAATCCAATTTAAGCAAGATTCTAGTCATCAAACATCATCCTTTAGGAACACAGATTTATAGTTTAAAGACATGGGGTAATCATTATCTGTGTGTCCTACCATCATGGTCCTCTTCAGATCCTCCTCCTGCACCCTGCCAGCACAGAACAGGTCTCTGTCAGCGAAGTACTGGGTGGCCACATCACCAATGGGCAACTTGGACAGAACCACCTTGGCTCCTGACTGATGGATCTTCTCCAGTTTGTCGTACAGGATGTTCCACTCTGCATCCACAATGGCCTGGTAGTCCTGCAGAAAAGGGGAAAGACGGTTAAAAAAAATTACAGGGAGCCAGAAGCGAGACTAATTTAACAACAGTTCCAGGCGCTTATTTCACATCCTGATGCTGTGTTGTGGTCTCCATACCTCCACAGATTTCACGCGGACCTCAGCGTTATCCTTCTCAGCCTTCAACTCCAGCTCCACATTAAGCAGAGCAATCTTTGGATTCTCATAGCGTTTGGGCTGCATCTCAAACCCAGCATAAGAGAAAGTCTTCTTGAATGCAACCCCAGAGATCAACTGAGAATCCTGCAAAAATGAAATACAGAACATATGACACAGATGGATTTGGAGTTTTAAAAATGAAAAGAACCTCATACAGTTGCTGTCATTTCTTGTTTTAAGCAATTTCAGTGGCAATTTTAGCAAAGATACAAACCTCAAGGGCTCCTCCCTGGACCTTCTTGATGCCAATCATCTTCAGAGACAGCAGCTCGTCCAGAGACATGACAGCGTCCACCACCATTTTGGAAAAGAAATCCTTCTGACCGGCGATTAGCTTGGAGTTCAGGGCTGTGGCTGCGCACTTCTCCAGCAGCTGCCTCTGCTCTCTGAGAGGATAGAGAGGGGGGAACAAGTACAACAATTTACATCCACTTTTTTTAAAAGCTCAATAGGATTCAATATAATAATGTTGCTCATAGCAGTGATTAAACCTCAAATGCTATGTAGCTGCCATGTAAAAAAATTAAAGTGAGCACTTACTGCCTGTCGTCTTTCTTCACAGAGACAGCAATCTCCTTGATCTTGCTGACAGCGAGGTTGGTGGCGGTGCGGAACGCTCTGATGATGGTCTGAGGGTGGAGACCCTCCTCCACGTACGGCTTCAGCTGCTTCAGGAACTCAGCAGCCAGGAGAGTGACGGAGGTGGTGCCGTCCCCGACCTGAGGGTGGTACAAAGGAATGAGTAAGATTATCAAAGCCTAATGTATGATGTTCTGACAATGGAGATCTTTCTCTGTGTTGACATTTCAATAGGCCTTAAACCTTAAAAACACACACTTCTCACCTCAGCATCCTGGGAGCGAGCGATGTCTACCAGGGTCTTGGCAGCAGGGTGAACCACATCCAGCAATTTCAGGATGGTGGCTCCATCATTGGAAATTGTGGCCTTACCTGGAAAACACAAGCAATCACAAATATTTCGTGAGGGTGAATTCTTCCTGTAATCCATCCCTTTCACCTTCATCCAACTTTATCCTCACCTCTGCTATCCACCATCAGTTTGTCCATCCCCCTGGGCCCGAGGGTGGTCCTGACAGCCTCTGCAATCACCTGGAAAAGACAAACCAATATGTATAGCTAGACGCATTTAAAGCATAACTTGTAAACACACATGAAAGAAGAAAGCGGTTTTTCTGACCTGGCAGGCATTGATGTTGCTGACGAGCTGGGGAATGCCCTGAGACGTGTCTGTCCCCTCCTTCAGCAGGATAACCGGTGTGGGCTGGAGAAAGAAAGGGCACAGAATGAAGTGGGTGGTAAACAGACAAAAAAGAAGAAGGGCCTGAGAAAATCGAGTCGGCTAAATCCAAACCGATCAATAACGTAAGCCAGGTATACTGAAACAGTGTGTCCTAGTCATCTAATTAACTGGCTTGCACAGTTATGCAGCCACAGTTTGCTTCTTCATCAACATCACACAACACAGAATATCAGTGGCAACAATATGAAGCTGTGACCAAGTTCAGCAGCAGTACAAACAGCAAAAAAAACACCGGCTATTAATATCATGACTTCCCTTCATAAAACTATAGCTGAGCAATAGATCATGTTTCAGTGAAATCATCATGATTATGACTGCACAAATAATCAAAACATTATCAAAATCACAATATGGCCAAGTGATATATCCAAATCATAGGAGCTGCTTTTTTTTTAAATAAAGTAAAATGTGCAAAAACATATCAATACAAAAAAAGTATTACGGTGCAACAGAGATGCCCAGCCTACAAAGCATATTCCAGACATAAAGGATAATGATTGATTGGTACAGACCCCAGCAAAAATCCCATCATCACCATTTATACATCATTTTCAATGACACTGAAATGCAGAAATGACCATTCCCACAAAAAAAAACATACATTGCAATCGCAACAACTGCATTTTTGCATGTCATGCAGCCCTAATCATGATCATAATGTCATGTGCATGATGTTTCATCCTGCAAAATCCTGGTGTACAAATGTATCACACAAAGCAAACTGTAATTAAAAGCTATCAAAATAAATAAAAACTTTGGGCATATTTAACTGTAATAAACATTGCGATTTTGCTTAAACTTTCAGTATGATAATATATATAAAATCGTAATACAGCAACATCTGAAAATACTTATATATTATAATATTGAACTCAGCCATATCACCCAGCTTTAGTTCAAGCACAGTCTGTAAGTTATGGTTATATCATTTGACCATTTAAGGTTATAAGCTAATATGGTCAGACTCATACAGGCTGTGGCTGGTACTGTAGCTGTAGGGTGTGATGCTTTTGTTACTCCACACATGCTGTGTGACACTGTCAAAAGCCGGCTGTCTGTTTACAGTCTGCTCATAATGCTGTTCATTATGGCAGGTTACA